TGGCTGGACCTCGCCATAGCGGACAGCCTTGAGACCGGTGCAAGAGCTGGCGTGGGTGCCGCCTTCCACCGCTATTGTTCGAGACGCGTTGAACTTATGGGGGACTTGGGTCGCGGCAGGTTTGCGCAAATGTTGGGAGAAACGTCCGCGACGGCGACCTGTGCGCTCGAAATCTCGACGCCCACACAGTGCTTTGCATGGCCAAACTGCATCCGAATAAAGGTAGTCGAGTCTGAATTACGACACACAATTTGAAGCCACGCTTACAAACAAAATCCAACAATAGTCCGTCTTGCCAAACCCAGCAACATCATTTTACCTAGGCTTCCAGAAATGAAAAACAAAAAAACAAATGTACTTCTACCTCAAGTCTTCCCTCATCCGAATTCTAACTCTGCATTGTCCAACTCCAAAGTAGTTTCACTAACACATCATCCGGCCCACGCAGGCTTGCCGGAAACATGTTTCATAAGTTCTTGAGCGGGCCTCAAATGGCGGCCATGGCATTTTAGTGAGAGCAACATGAAACTTGGTCGTCGGCGATGTGAACAAACATCAGCACTATACTTCCGCAGGAAAAGCACGCTGCTTTCTCCTCGACTGGGTCGAGGAATGCGTCGGCACGAAAAACAACAAGCAACAGCCGCTCAACGTTTCCAGTGCTTTTTGCGTCGCTCTGTGTGCGCCCACAGGGCTGGCTGTGGCACCCCGAGGGCTGGTGCCCACATGCGAGCATCACGCATGGTCGCAGGAAGGTCGATCCATCCATCAGCGAGCCTTGCACATTGCAACCAACTGGCCCCAATAATTCAGAATTATCAAAGTCACAGCCGAAGAGGCAGGTTGAAGCGAGCCCATGCAAGTGTGACAACGTCAAACGATCAAACCGTTGACCACAGAGCAAGCGTGATTGGAATTGATGTCTCCGCTGGCGCAGGACAGCTCGCGAGCGCGTTTTTGGCTGAGGCGTGCTAACATCGGAGATCGCCACACACGAAAGACATTTGGCTCAAACGTTCGGATCGGTTTCACTGGCCACACCTGTGTAAGCCCAGGGGCCGCCGAGGGCGTGAAGCAATGGGCCGGAAGCCCCGTTCCAACGACCAGTGCTTCGGTAGGGTGGCCATCATTGAGTCGCAGCTCGCCACTGTCAGTTCACCAAAGCAGCTCAGTCATGGCGAACCTTGCGGAGCGAGAGGATGACATGCCAAGCGACAAGCAACGAGCGCCAAGACGACTGGCCAAGAGCCGAGGTGGTGCAAGAGGGACTGCCAAGCGGCAACGATCTAAGCAAGGGAGCCCGTACACATGTTCGACACCTCTCCTTGCTGATAGCACTGCTTCTGCAACAGCGAATGGGCTTAGACTTTGTTTCGCGTGAAATGTAAGTCTGCAAGTGCATTTCCGCAATCCATGGGCGTGTCTTGTTCGCCTGCAAACGGATGCAAGTTGTATGTGATTGTCTGGCCTGGCCTGCAGCTGTCCTCTGTGCTAGGCGGGTTTATTGAGACTTCGAGTGCCTGGCCAAGTTGGCCATCCATTCAACAAATCGGGGCACACCTGAAGCTGGGAGCGAGCTGCCACGAAATTGCCTGCAAATTTGGATATTCCTCTTATAAAGGATTTTGGAGTCCGTGTCAAATCTGAGCAATTCGAAACTATGGGAAGCAAGGAGTCGAGTGGTCCGTCTTGAGATTGGTGCGCCAGTTTGGATGGAGATCACGTCGAGTTGCGCGACAAGTACGTGCATTGATAAGGTGACATTCGCGCGTCACCGTAGCCACACTAAATAACCGTTTTCCAGCTTTGTCAATGGAAAATATTCAGCCCGACGGCATCGCTCATTATCATTCTTGAACATGGGACAGGTGGTGTTTTGGGACTCGTTTTCTGAGGCTGCAAAGGCACGTCCTTTTTCCCACGCACATGCACTCAAGCTGCAAATGTTCCCGATGCCTCACCAAGGCCTCACTCGCAACCAATTTGCGCGCCGTGTTGGTGTGTCTTGTTTGGGGACCCGTTCGAGTATTTTCAACTACTAACCGATCACACTTTTGGTCGCCCATTCACAAAAAGGGAAAATGGAATCGTCGAAGAAAAGAAAGAAGAGGTGTGGAAAACGAGGTCCCATCTTGCTGGAGACACAGTAAGGGCGCGATTGGATTAGAATGGGAGAGTCAGGCAAATGTAGTCAAGAATATGTGCAACTATTTAGTTCCTTGGATTACCCTTTCTGGTGTTGTTTTGAAGCGAAACATCTTTATAATTTTCCGGAATGGTAACCCGGGATCAATAGCCCCTAGCGTTTCAATAGCAGGGGAGGGGTGTGCACCATTTTATGGGGTGCAGCTGCACCAGTGCGGGAGGAACATCGACCATAAGTCAAAAGAGGGGACCCGACAATGATTGGATTTCCGTGTTCACGTATCTGCAGTATCCTCTAAAAGACACGAGGATCCCCGCATGGAATCCCTTTGCAGAAACCACAGTGGATGTTTCGAAGGGGTCATTCCCTCCTTGAGAACCAGCAAGTCATGGCTCAGCCGCGCGCCTCCGCGCAAGCAAGGCACAGATCCTGGGCAAAGGATCGGAAGCCGCGCTCCTCTCAGGTCTCCCTTTTGGGGTTACTCCGAGGTAGACTTATACCCAAGGGGTTTCCCTTTCGGGGAAAATCAAGCCCCAGGTTTGAGTAAATCTTGGGGACCGAAGTAGCCCGGCTCCTCCCCCTGCTTTCTGAATGAAAAGAGTTCATTCAGCTCCATAGCTCCCCAGATGTGGCCAGGCCCCCCAGCGTAGCAGCAGCCAAATCGAGGGCAGTGTAGCATCATCTGATCCTGCGCGCTCCATGAACCCGTTGGGCGTTCGCTCCATGGGAGTTATGTCCACCTTCCTTTGAGGGCAATCCCGTATATTCCCAATGAGAAATCATGGCCTCAATATTTGAAAACTGCGGATGAACTCAGAAGCCCAGTAGCCATGTGCCAAAAGAGCCCCCAATTTCGGTTGGTTGATTTCAGAATTTGAGCAAAGGGGGAGGCGCACCACTGGGCCCACTGGGCCCGACTCCGGGCCTCCTCGATCTGGTCCCTGGAGCAATGGCTGCAAGATAACCTGAGGCTCGAGGCATCAGCAAAGCCAGCTGTGCTCCAAGGATCCCCCAGAAAAGCGCAAGGGCAAACATTTAGCCCTTGGGCAATCCTGATGGAAATCATATCTCCAACAACCGATACAAAGAACGAGCTGTGAAAACAACTCTTTGAGTGGCATGTTGACTAGGCATGTTTCATCGAAATCCCAAACACAAGCAGGTTGTCAAATGCTCCAGTAATCCAACACACAGGATTAATAGTGGCGCCCGGTGGGCACAGTTTCTTTGTTAGCTTTCTTTCAAAACCATTTTAATGCTTTGAACTTGAATTTGAAAGGAAGCCAGCACAGAACATGTCACGACGATTGCGTGTTCAGCAGACATACTCCAATACAATTCTGGTTGCTTTGGTGTATCTTTCTCTTGAGAGCCCCTATGGACACAGTGCGCAGGGCTGATGTCATGTAAGGGTGTACCCCGACGACTGCGCCCTGATTTCCTGTAAGGGCTTCCTTTGATTTGACAACACACCAACTACTCTGCAAAATTCACATGGCACCTAGTGTCAGGGGTTCCCCCCACAAGAAGCTTCCTATTGATATGAAGGATTGGCTCCATGTTCATCCAGGAGGCTTGTCGGTTTAGCCTCAAGCCACCAGAGGCACAAACTTGGCCCTCTCGGGGTTGGGCCAACTGCTTTCTTTGAGCAAGAAGCTCCTTTTGAGTGATTGGAGAATTGGTAAAAACATATTTTGCAATCAACTCTGGAAACTCCAAACCACTCCGAGCTTGACACTATGCAGAAAGCACTCCCCCGCTGTTCCCGGAGGCTATGCCAAGGCGCATCAAGTCGTCCCCGCTGCGCATGCGATACGCGGCCGGCACGCCGCGGATTGGCTGCAGCAGTCCGTGCCTGCCACGCGTCGGGTCTGCTAAACCTGCCAAAAGTGGAAGGAACCCAAGAAAACAACGATTCCCCCTTTTTCCTTGCGGCTCAGGGAGTCGCATTACTTGGCGGCTAGGGTTCCAAACATCCGTTAGGCTGCTCTTTTGGCGGCTATTGCCCTGACACAAAGTCCAATGTTGGGTTGACGTTCGCCAATTGGGGGTCCAATATGAAGTTTCCTGACAACCCTCCAATCGCCGGCCTTTCGCGCAGCGGGGCCAATCGCAAAGCAAACTTGCGAACTTCTTCCCAACTTACCAGCAAACATGTAGTTGTTACTGCAATCGCGGCCCAATCGCCGGCCTTTCGCCGCTACCCGAATACATAAATTGAAGATATGCATTTGCGGGCGGCCCCCCGATTGCAAAGTTAAAGTTAACAAGTCAACCGAATAGAAGCCAAGACTTGGTTGCGATTGTTCTGGAATCGTAGTACTCTTCTACTCTTCCGATACAACGTAGCCGGCGAGTTGGAAAATACAGCATGAGGGAAAGACTCCTATAAACCATCCCTTGTGGTTTTCTTGGGATCCACTTCAGGCTCATTCTTCCCTGAGAAAAAGCTCTGTTACCGTCTGTTGCCAAGTTAAAGCTTCCTGGTGGTTCGCTCCGCTTTATCAAGTCAACCATAAAACACACATGATTTTGTTGAAGGACAGTTAACCATAAAACACACATTCTTTTTTTGAAGGACATGGGAAAATTGCCTGCCCTGGGATTCGCAGCAGACTTGGGCCACTTGGGTTCTCGAGTCCTCCCTTGTCAGTCGCCACTATCAAGACAGTATGTCGAACCACCATCAGAGTATTTTTGGACGCTGCTATACTTTGCTCAATCATTACTTGAAACACACCATGCAATGATCGCATTTTCCAAGTACAACCACGATGTGCATGCTGCAACTGACCAACCAACCCCAGGTCTCCTTCGTGGACATTCAAAGTCAAAGCGCATGCGAACACGTCGTTCAGCCTCAGCAGCAAAGGCGCCGACCAAAGCCAAAGAAGTCACAATGAAGATCAGGCAAGTACTAGGTGAGCCTACCCAACAGATGTAAAAACTCAAAAGTCCCAGTATCCGCACTTATTTCTGGCAAAGCGCCAGTCCTTACTCTCACATGGTCGACCTGTTCGGCTTTGACCTTGGCTCAACTCAAGTGCAGTTTGCTCCCCGTCAAAGGAACATGGACGAATGAACCCCAGAGAGGGGTCCGCCCAAACAACTGCATGGCTCAACCAAACCGAGTTATTTTGGGGTTCCATATTGCAGCTGGATTCTGAAATGAGATGGCACACCTATAAGTCGGTTTCATGCTCCGACGAGAACAAAAATATGCGTTGCTCCAACTAGCAAATCCCATGGACTCCCTAATCCGAGTGTCTAATCCGTACTGGGACCCCATACTGCAAGGCAAACCACGAAGCCCATCTGGCAAACACATAAATATATAGCACACATGTGTATATATATATATATATATGAACACCAACGTTTGACCCGCTTGGAGGGTTTGTTTGTGGGTCCATATTTTTCAAAGCTGGGAGTGTGGGACGCGCAATCTGGGTCTAGGTGTGGAACGTTCGAGCGGCGTGTCCAGCATAGGGCACCTTGACTGGAAGACATCCCTCCGTGAGCAGTCAAAATATGGGGCATGTCTTGTTTCGGTGTCCTTTTTGGGTTGGCTCAAAGGGAAACCAGAAGCACACTGACTCATTATTTTTTGGGGGTCTGCTGGGGAGGTATATTCAATGCATAAGGGATTGACACACTTTTGAAGGCACGCCAACATGAAACGTGGACCCTTAGAACAGTGAAATCACCCAAGCATTTTGGCTAGCCGTATGCTCTATGTAAGGGAACCCACAACGGAAGATCGCCTATTTAGTGGGCTTCCATATTATTAGGGTCAGCCAAAAAGGTCCCCCTGAGCTTCTGGCGCACGCGGAGGCGACACAAGTTCTGCTTTTGCGCCACCTGGCCGGCGACGCCGGGGGCGTCGCTTTAGACCCAAACCTAAATCCGAGCGCATTCAAACTTGGCCGAACTTGTGCAACTGAACATTTGTTTTTGTTGTTTGTTTTTTGCCCATTTGTTGTCGACCTTGAAATGTAGCATAGATTTCCTGTGAAGACCCAAGAAAAGGGCAACCCAAGGCAAGCAACAGGGAAACTGAACCCATGTTGGCTGTTCCCTGATTTAGGGTGTTTCCTTAGTTGTAGTGAAAAAGGTCAGCATATGCCTGTTGTTTGCGGAATGAACATACAAACATGTCGCCTGTTTTCCTGCACACTTGCTTGAGTCTAGAATGTTGCGAAGCTGAATGTAGATGCACGCAACTTACGAACTAAAGCTCGATCTAGCGGAAACTAGGAATGTTGCTGGGTCCTGTCATTTCTGGATACTATGTCCATTCATAATACAATTAATACGGAGACAATGGTCAGAGGCAATTGTTGTGTTCAAACCCAACCGTCAGGTCGCATGTGGCTGCTTTGGTAAGTGAGTCTCCCACCTGAACACTTAAAATCGAACATTGCTTCCCGCAAGCAACAGGCACCTGATGTCTAAATGTCCGCAGACGGCTTTCCACCGCGTACGATGTGGCAACAATGAACGTGCATTGGAGCCATGTACAATTGGATGGTCGTAAAACTTCGCTTGGAATAGTGGGCACCGGACACAAGGATTCCTCAAACTTGAACAGAATGGAACAACCGCCAAAGGGCTTGCGCTTCAAAAGGGCCATCCCAATTTGAGTGGCTTCCCCGCTTCCCCCAACAACGCTGGCCCACTGTCGACTCCGAGTTGTTTCGTTGGCAACGTCCCCCTCATTTCAAAATCTGCGCAGGCCAATGTAGGTGTCCTTTTTTCCATGCCCGAATGCATTTTTGCAGGGTTCTGCCGGTCAAATCGCCAGCCTCATGGCACAGCGAAATTAGCGTGCAAAGAGAACATGGAGCAAGTGGCACGAGAGCATACGCAGAGCCAGAAGCACAATGCGCACAACATTAAGCATGAGAGCACACAGACACCGCAGAAAGCACGAGAGAGCACACGCTGACCCTCTGCAGGAATCGGCGTGGTTGATGTGCAAAGACTAAGTAGTTTTGCAACTTGTTGACTTGCACGCGCGACTCTCTGGGATCTGCGTGTCGATGTGCAAAAACTAGGTTGCACGCGCAACCCTCTGCAGGTCGATCTGCAAAAACTGTGTAGTTATGCAACTTGTTGATTCGCACGCACGACCCTCTGCCTGGATCGTGGTCGATGTACAACCTTTTGTGGTACTTGCTTTCAGAACGGCCCCCTCCATTCAGAACGGCACGTGAAGAAACTTGCACAGAGCCACTTGCAGAAAGATATATGCACCGAGAGCTTGCACCCTCCAAACTTGCACAAAGAAACATGCCTCGGGAGCTCGCCCAGAGAAACTTGTATCAACAAACTTGAGCGAAACAAATCCAAACATAAAACATATTGCATCGATCAACTGCGTAGGCGAACTTGGGCAATGCAAATTGAGCCGAGAACTTGCGCAAAGACTTCCCCAAAAAGCTTGCGCAAAGAAACTAGATGTTCACAACTTAGACTTCGGCCCCTAAGCGTCCGACTCTTAGTGAGGCCTGGGCCTTGTTCTGGCGGAAAGGGCCGACCTTTTTGAGGGCCTTATTGAGGCCTTGGGCCTTGCTAAGTGAGGTCTCCAGCCGTGAACGAGACTAAAGTAGGTCCTTGAAAAGTATGCATGGCAATCTTCAGCGCTTTGGAACCAGCTGCTTCTTACAGTGTGTCGGTGTGTTGATAGTGAGGCTGGGCATGTTGGGACCTCAAAAAAGCACAAAGACGTGATATAAGACCAAACCCACCACTTGGAGAGTGAGCCTTACGAGGGATCTGGGCGCTCGCGTCGGCGCATCGGAGCCTCGCTCAAGGCGTCCAGCAGCGCGTTGCGGGCCTCCAACGCCAAGGGCGGCGCCACCAGCGCCTGCGGACGGCCGAGCGACGGACGCCGCGCGAAGACCCGAAGACCCGAAGACCGCGCCAGGCGAAGCTCCGAGCTTCGTGGGGGTTGCCAGAAGGAAGTCGGAATGACCCCACCCCAAGATTCTGACCCCAAGAACTGCAAGACAATTGTGGACAAAACTCACATCCAACGGAAGATTCAGGGGACATGTTGTTCAAAGATCCAGTGAAGGGGGCATTTTAGACATCAGTCCAAGAGCCACTCGATAAACATCTTGGGATGTCACATGATGTCACAGTAAACTAATTTGAAACTAAAGGATCGTGAAAGGATCTCAACTTCAACTCTGGGCAGTTGCTTCAAGCGAGTTTCCCCAGAATCAGGCTGCGTAACATGACACACAATCAGCACCAGCAAAAGCAAACGCTGCCTGACCTCTGCCAAGCGCTCTAGAACTGGAATAGGAGACACCTCAGTGGCGTGGAAAGGGACATGCAGCTGAGCTGCCCGATGTTTTTACCGACCCAAACAAATCAAACATGTATCCTGGGAGAATGCCAACAAACCACGTATCTGCCGCCCTGGCAAATGTTGATCAACAACCGACCCGTGGCGGTTTCAAGAGTAGGTCAATAGGTATTTAGACATGGTTAAATACACGATGCTAAAAATGTATCTTACGTGATCAACCATGTTGAAACCGGGGTTGAATCGCAGCCTTGTCACTCCATCCCGCTTCGGTTGGTTCCATCGGCTCTTGGCTCTGAGGCTCTGAGGCTCTGAGGCTGTAGCCCAAATCGCTTCCCTCCAGGAGCACATGGTGGCCACTCGGCTGGCGCTCAGGAGACTTTGGACCTCGCTGGAAATCGGGGGTGATTCAAGCGGTTGGGGGATTTGGTATTTTCTGTACGTGTTTGTTTAAACTGTTTTGCTGCAAGCCACAAAAATGGCTGAAGACGCTTGAACATAGGGTTTCGGGGGTGACCTAAGGGTGAACCCTCCTCGGTCATAGCTTGGCGGATCACATTCGGCAAGCAGTTGTGCCAACAAGCTTGAAACACGGAAGCAGCGCCTGAAACTCATTAGTTTCCGGTTCTACTATCATGGTTATTAAGGTTTCTATAAGCTTTACTTTAACCCCAGTGCATCCAATCTTCTAAAATGGCCAATGGGGAATTTGGGCGCTCACGTCTCCCTTGCAAATCGGGATGCTTTTTGGGCCTTTGGCCGTGCACACTTCGAGCCTGATCGCAGGATTCCCAAATGGGGCAGACCCCAAGCGGAAGGTGAGGTCTGCCAAGGCCCTACGTGTTACTTGGGGAGATGAGATTTGAAGTGTCAACTTCGAACTGAATCTGAGGGAGGGGGAATCTGCATAACCTGGATGAAATCCAACCACAACAATGGGTACATTGCAGGGTAGGACAGTTTCATCAGCTCATCCATTCGCATTTGGGTGGTGCTAATTGCGCTTCGGTTGGCACGCGGTTTTTGCAATTGCAATCATGTTTGTTGAGATGCTCTCCAATAGGCACAATGCGCGTTGTTTGCGGCATCCAAGGCTCTCCCCTTAGCCTCAAAGTCCAGCACTGGTCCCAACTCCCAAAACTCTCTCAAACACAACCGAAACCATCAATTAGCTGCCCCCCCCACCCCCCAAACCCCAAAACCAGGAGCCACCCCCACCTCCCCCCAATAAGCGCCCCCCAACCAAAAAAAAAACAGAACACGAGCGCAAGAACGTGGGGTGATCTGTGGATGGCCATGCAGCTGCTTGACAGAACCTCCGTCACCTGCCTTCACCTTACGGGGCCACCCCCCACCTCCACTCCTCCCCTCCCTCCGGTCCTCCCCTTCCAGGCCGCCGGGCCGCCGCTTTGCCCGCGCGCCCGGTGCTGCGGAGCCGCGCCAGCGCCCGCAGCTGGGCGAACTCGGCCAGGGCCACGAGGACCTCGGGACGGACCCCGACGCCGCCGCCGGGGGCGATGGGACCCGAGGTTCCGCGGAAAACAGGAAAAAAGCCAGAGAGAGACTTGCCAGCACCCTGCAAGAAGGGTCCATGCGGGTTGAAAAAACAACCCCGTGGAGGCCCTAGTATCGGTCAGTATCGGTTTTGTTCCTCTGCATCGGCTTGCAGATTTTTTGGCAGCTCTAGCTCGAAAGTCGCGGCTTTTCCGTGCAAGTGTAGTATGCGAAGTACACTCTGCCAGCTCCCAGCTCCAGCTGGAAAGTCGCCACTTTTCAGTAGTATGCGCAGTACACTTTGGCAGCTCCGGCTCGAAAGTCGCAGCTTTTCAGTGCAAGTAAGTTGCTTATGGTGTAACATACGAAGTACATTCTAGCAGCTCCTCAGAGGAAGTCGCAACTTTTCAGTACAAATGTAGTACACAAAGTACATTTTGGCAGCTCCAGGGAAGGCTGCAGGGCAGCTGGCTGGATTCGGCATGGCGGCCAATGAGTTGGGTATCGGTTGGGTATCGGTTTGGGTATCGGTTTGGGCCCTGCAAATTTATGATTCCGCAATCTTGGTTTGCGACAACAACTTGGACCTGATGTGTGTCTTCATGGCTTCTGGGGGTATCGGTGTTTTTTTCCTCTGTATCGGTTTGCAATGGTTTTGGCCTGCGAAACAAGTTAAGGGACGGCCCCTTACATAACGAAAAGGCGCGGGCTTGTTTTTTCAGCCCATATTTGTACCTGAAGTGCCCTTGTGTGAGCCATTTTGGCCAATTGACAACTCTTGGAGGGTGCTGCTCTGCTTGGTTTAGGCTTGGAAAAGGATGAGAGTGGATGGTGGGCTGCTTTGGGGTTGGTTTTGGGTTGTTGACGGAGAAAGGAACACATCTGCGAAATGTTAGTGGGTTTAATGTCAGCGGATTCCATGTTAGCAGGCTCCATGGCGCCGTCATGAATTCCGCTGGGTTCCATGAAACAAAATAATCTCCGCTACTATAGTTCACCCAACACAATTTAGGAATCCTTCAGACAACTTCATTTCTGGTGCTTTCCACGTTCGTTGCTTCACACAAATTTCTCATCTGCAAATTTGTCACTCACTTTTGGGTCCCGGTGGCTTCGATTGGTTGATGGTTGGTTTAGGCTAGGTTTGTTATTGGGCTCAAGTGTGCTTCGGGTGTCTAGGGTTGGCTTCAGGTGTAAGGTGGGGTGAAAGCAAAGCTTGTGCTCATGTCATGGACCTCTTTAAGGGGATATGGCAAGCGGGTATGGGATAAACTGATAAGCTAAGAATAAGCCCCTGCTACGGCGGCCAGCGTAATTTTCTCTAGACGATGAGGGTTGGAATGGAAAGGATGAGACACGGCAGAAACGAAAAGGGCAGCTTCAGAACAAAACATACCAAGCCATATGGTATGTCAAAATAGGGGGACCCCCAAAAGCCTCAAAACCAAGGAAACCATCAGGGAACCACTTCTGCATGAGATCAAGAAAAGCCTCCAGGCAGCTTCAGGTTGACTGGAGTTGGGTGGCCAAAACATACAGAGCGTTCCCTCCAAAAACTGATAGTGAGACAATGCTACTTGACTCGGTAGATCCATGTCGCTTCTCACTCTGACCCTCCCAAGACTTGGCGCCTCAGAGGTCAGCGAAGCTGCGGCCGGCCATGTGCCAGCCATTTGGCCGGGCTGAACAGGCTGGGGCCCCCGTTCGATTTTTCCGACCTCAAGTTGTTTGTTGATTGACATCGATTTTCTGCACACTTATGTAAAGCACGATTGGCTGAAAGAAAGATATATAAAAAATAGAGTATGCGTTCACCTCCATCGACAGTTACTTACTGTTTGGCTTCTGCGACCAAACAAAAGGGTTGCCCGGGACCTGGTGACTCGGAGAACAGCTTCCTGGAGGTCTAAACTCGCTCCTGACCACTTCCTAAATTTGAATTTCGGCATATTGCCCATGGCTTCTATTTTCGTGGCTGACCCGCAAATATCTATCTCATGTCCAACCTCAGACGTGGCCGGCCTGGGACTTGAAGCTCTTCTTGCAGCGTTCCGGAGCCAGCAAATGGATTTGTCTCCAAGTGTGGAAACCCCCTTGACTGGTGGGCTCCCTTTAGCTTCCCTCCACAACAACCAAACAAACACATCTGACCCAAATCGTGACACACTCTTCTACATTCAGTGCTGTTGGCCTCACACGCATCCTGCTACTCACACCGCATACTCTTCACGGGCTGCCTCATGTCCATCGCGCTCGATCAAATCAAATATCACCACAGTTCAAGCCCTGTTTGCCCTTCTACATGGAAGTGGACGAGGGGCCCTTGGGAGTGGATGGTCGAAATCCATCCTGTCAACGTTCATGGCCTAGGTCCAACAAGATCCTCAACTTTTACGCTCTAAGTCAAAGGATGCACCTGATACATGCAGCCCTGGCACAATTAGCTGGCAAAGGTGAGTTGCCAAATTTCGAGAAATGCTGCTATACTTTCAAAAGCTGAACTGAATTAAGGGATCCCCAAGTAAAGGACCGTTGTCCTGGTGAGCTCTCTATACCCAGGTGAGCTCGCTAAGGAACCCTCCAGCAGCATCAGCTTCTGCAGCCCTGGATGTTTCATTTCCGCCGGGGCCGTCTCAGCCGCCGCTCAGCGGAAAGGACGCCACGCTCCGGTAGTAGCCTCCCGCAGCTTGGGCCCCGGTGAAAAAACGCTGCTGTGACAACGGCACTCTCCATGGGAGCCAACATTGAAAAAAAACGCAAAAACAGGGGACACCCCAAGACACGACAAATACTGGCTTGAATGTGCTGAAGGATGACACGGGCTATTCATCTGATTCATAAGGGAATCTTAAAAATCCTGGCTGAGGGTTCTTTTAGCCTAACCCTGGCACAGCCTGGCGTGCACGAAAGGAGACAGGAGGGTTTAGGGTAGTCCGTTTAGGGCAGGTTGAGGCCCGGCATCGTTTTAACATCCTCAGCATCACCAGGCTTTGGTTTAGGTTGGGTTGGGTTCCAGGCCTATTGAGAGGTGCCCACCCTAAACCAGCCCTAAACCCACCCGAGACCAACCCCAAGAAGCCCCACCATAAACCAGGACTAACCATCTACCTCAAGCACAGCCACCCCCAAATTTGCTCTCGAGAGGCCTGGAACCCAACTGCCGGAGCCAAGCCTGAGCCAAACTGGAACCCCCCTAAACCCAACCTAAACCAAAGCCTGGTGATCCTCAGCTGAAAACGAGGCTGGGCCTTAACCTACCCTAAACGGACTACCCCAAACCTACCCTACCTACCCTGAACCCATCCCAAACCTTCGTCCTACCGAGGCGCCAACCAACCAACCAACCAACCAACCAACCAATCAACCAACCAACCAACCAACCAACCAACCAAGCAAGCAAGCAACCAACCCTGTGCCAGGATCCTCAATCAACAAAAACGGCTGTCCGAAAGGCGATCAAAGGAAGTCGAGAAGGAACTTCTGAGTTCCGGACACCATCTGAAGGTAATTCTGCGCAAAGGATACTGTCGAAATATGAACGCCACATTTGTGGGCGCGTGCGCGGAAAAGAGCTGCGAAAAAAGAGCAACAATCTGCAGACCTGGGCCCATGTATATGCGCGCGCGAGCATTTCGCCACATTGGTTTGTGTGGCAGGCGCAGCAGTTTGTTGGCTTGGTGCTCAGAAGTCGTGACAGGTGCAACACTTTGGCAGCCTGAGGTGTAGATTTTGCGGCAAACGCAGCACTTTTGTAGACTCTGGCACAGATTGCGTGCCAGGCACGACACTTTGGCAATGCTGGAACGCATGCTTTGGAAATCCGGGACGGACGCGCACAGTGTCACATGCGGATTTTCGTGGCAGGCACAGCAGCCTTGCCATGTGCAGAGCAAGAGAAAGACGAAAAAAGAACAGAAAGCCAAAGAGAGAAAGCGGGAGAGAGGGCATTAAAAGCAAGCTATAGACATATAAATGGCTGGTGAAAGAGAAAGCGAAAGCGGAAGGGACAGAGCAGGAGAAGGACAATGAGAAAGAAGAAGAGAAAGAGAAAGAGAAAGAGAACAATGGAGAGAGAGAGAGAGAGTGCCAGAAGAAAGAGAAAAGAGGAAAACAATGCGAAAAAGAAAGATAGGATAATGATAAACAAGCGTCCCGAGGAAAGCCCACTGACCGTCCCCACCGTCGTCGCCCATCTCATCGAGGGCTGAGAGATGGATCTCCCGCAGCTGTACAGTGCCGAAGTCTACCTGCGCTGCTGTGAAGCAAACAAAAGTAGCCCCTATAGGGGCCCTTTTGGCCAAACATTCCCCTGCAAAAGCACGGAACCCAAAAAGGGTGTCCCTGAAGAGTTCCCAAAGATAGCGATGTGCTCGATGGTGCTGCGAATAGAACCAAACCGGGGCCAGTGGAAATTCCCCGAGAATTGTGTCGTTTGGGTATGCTGCCGTTTTGGCCTCTGAATACTTTAACACTTTGAAGAGGATTCCCTGCGGATCGTAGAAGTGATGCTAAAACCCTCACAACCGTAGGCCCGCAAGTAGCACGCGAGGGCTTGCCCAACAGTGCTCAAATATTGCAAACAAAACATCATTATCGACCTATGCTCGAGTTGCGACTCAAGCCGCCAACCTGCATGCTTGATTCCCTAAACATTGCAAGTCAACCAACAATGACGCATTGCGAAACAATATTTAGGGCATTGGCCGCAGCCAAAATCCACCGCTACCCTTGCCACACACATGTTTTTCTCTGCAGAGACCATCAGGTCGCTTTCGGCGGCTCTGCCGCGCTGAGCTGCTTGTTGTGCCATCGAACAACCTGCGATGCTTGCAGGCCCAATCTGGCGAACCACCGTCGTGCGCATGACATGCAAGCAACAAACAAACATACGTGATGTCTCAAGAGGACTTGGGACGATTGTGTGGCGTCCTTCCCCTCATGCCCTGCCCACACAGACTGTAGACTTCCCATGTTGTCAATGACTCATATGCCTTCAAGTCGAGTTCCCTCAAAAAGAATCGTCATGGTCCGCACAGCAGGATTCCCCCTCCATATCTCTTGTGGATAGCACTTGGGTTTGGACATGAAAGCAGCCGTTGGAGCGTGTGCAATGGCTTCTGAGTTAATTCCTTTACACGTAAAGGGTTGATGCGCAGCTGCCTAAGGGAATTTGAGGTGTATAACTTCATGCCCACTACACAGTACTATGTCAAGGGTATCTACCCCAATTTCTCCTGCGGATGGTGATTTGGGGGTAGTAGAAACCATCTTATCTATTTATTATATGAACTTCAACAACTAAATGCCGTTTGATTGATGGACATTGGACGTACATAGGGGACTTCGCCAGCCACCAACCATTTTGAGGGTGCATGGACAAAGCCACGCATGGGTTGGGATGAAGCCCTCCCATCTCCCGGCCTCGTCGTACGGCAGCTTGCCCCCAAAGATATCCAGGGCACTGCCTGGCTCGGCAAACCGAAGCGCTCCGGTTTCAATTCACGGACATCATCGGACATCCAATGGACTTCTAGGGACCATCCAATCAATGGACTTCTGGGGATTCTAGGGACCCAGACCCATTCAGAGAAAGGCCTTTGGGCCCAGATCTTTGAGACTCGCGACTGTGAATGACACATGGACCCAGAAAGTCGGACCCTACCAGCAGTCACTAGCTTCCCTGCGAGAGCACCCATGCCCGGGGCCATTGGCCGTGGTCATTGCTCTTTCAATAGGAAGCCCAATAGTTGCTAAAATCCAATTGAGTGTTTTGGACCATCCCTACCACCCTCGAGTAAACTGGGTGACCATGGTGACCACAAATGGGTTCTGTGCCAGAATGCTACATGACTATTCTTTAGTGCAAGTTGAACCCCTTTATGAGCTCGTTTAGGGGCCCCCTGACCATTTCGGGTCCATCGGATCGATCCGACCATCGAGACCATCGAAACCCCATGCTCGCCTATGGTGGCATCCACGCGGTCCTGACCTGCGCGGAAAGAACCGCAGATTTTGCAAACATCTTTGGCTGTGGTAGTTGGACCCCTGTCAAGGGCTTGATTATCAACCCTACCAACCCCTAAGTAAAATAATGCCTACTATATATGGCACATTTGTGGTACTCGACACACTCTTGGCTAAGGTTGTTACGGGAGCAACTGGTCCGGCAATTCAATCACGTTTGGATGAGATAAGAGCTGGCCCAACTGTTGGGTACACCTCCAACATGATATTGTTCATAGGTTGCCTCATAGTGAGTCTCTCCGAAGAAGCTCGCGCCGATGCCATGGAAACGACAGCTGGAACATCGCGGCCCACCCACAGAGTCCACTGGTCGATGTTGCTTTCACTCAAATATTCCGAGGGGAAATCACTGGCTCTAGCTTGGATGATGAGGTGAACCAAACTGGACACCTGTGCCACGGGGACACATCTACACTGGCAAATCAAGCAACTAGGACGAGTCTGTGCAGCTGGCCTAGCGTCCGTATTCTCTCCATATCCTTGGCTTGACCAGCATGCTTGCAACGTCACATCCCACTACAGCCTCGCCATGAGATCGCTTCTTTGTACGTCTGTTGCATTCTGCACAAAACAGCAAAAACAAAAAACATAAGTTTGTCAAATCTCATCCAACCCGAATGGACATGTATGACAAATCAGGAGCCCTCCAAGGTGGTTCCAGGTTGCTTTCCTTCACCAAAAAGGGGTCCATGGACTTATACTGCGGCCGCGCTGCTTCCAAGGATCGCACACCACCGGCGTACCTCGCAGCTTGACACAGGGAACCAATTGGCGATCCTTCTGCAGCTCTCCCAGTGGCACTCCTGCAAATTGTGAGACGCGCTCATTGTTGACGCATACTAGCATTGTTGCGCTAGCCAAGCCTGCACATGTCTCAAGCTCTATAGAGTTTCTGAGGGCAATCGGCAAAGGCAGCTCAAGCTCAAAGCGGGATTGAGTCAGCGGCATGATACATTCTCCGCTCTGCATTGAATAGGGAAACGATCCAGGACACTTCCCGGGAAAGGGTTCTAAAACTGTCTTGGCAGGGCCTAAGAACCTTTCTGAAGGGTACGGGTGTGGTGAGATGCCTGCAAAGGATCAGGTGTAACTTTGCTACGTTGCAACGGCCAGAGCTCAAAACCGGGCGCACGTGACAGGAATGGGCGATGCCGCCAGGATTCGGACCAAGGGTTCCTGGCTGGGTTCGGTCCGCCGGAGAGTCACAAACAAACTAACGCAAACTCAGATGGTCTACCCAAAAACCAAGGTATGGAATCAGAAGGCAGACATATGCACCTATGTGGGACGGCGACTATCCACTACTTCATCCGACCAGGATACGACTGTGGTTGAAATGCTCAGCAAAGAATCTCCACTGATTTGGGCGGGTGTCAAAATGGAGCACCCTTCAAATAACAGGTTTGCTCTTGAACACACCCCAAAAAGAGGCACCCTGGGCCCTCCCAAAAAGATACTGCTCGAGCTTCATGCTGCGCATTGGGCACCGAGGACTGGGCGCATGTCACTGGAGTCATCAAACCAAAGGCCAAAGTGGTCAAAGCCATCTCTTCCCCCTATAGATATGTGCGCCCTATTAATAAATATAATGTTTCCCTGACACCAAATCTCCCAATACTAAACTAGAACTCGCCAATACTAAACCAGTTCTACACTCATAGATTTCCCGTCGACCCTAGCTGCAGTCGTATTAGGGGTCATCTTGCAAGCAGCAGTAGACACTACCAAACCCTCACCAAACCAGTACCAAACAAAGCACCACCAAACTAAAGAAATTATGGGCAAACCAAACAAATATCATTCCATGTTGGGCAAATAACAGACATACATTTTTCAGCAAAGTGTGTATTCCAAACACAAGTAAGAAAACGACTCTTTGCTACCTTCTCTAACCAAAGCCCTATCTGACCCAAGGATGGTGACATCCCCTGGCTCGCAAAATGGACCCTTGAAAGTATTTGGCCCCCAAGCATTGTTTTTGGGGAGGGGGAGCGTCTGTAATTAACATTGCAATTTTATACGAGGAACACTTGGTTAAAGTCGCAATCATTTCCAGAGGTCTGTCAAACAACCTCGCCAAACAAAATACTCGTATGTTTTTGTGATATCCTTGCAAGGATATTGGCCTTCCCTCCAAGCTGTCCTCGATGCCGCTCTGAAGGCCCTCCACATCCACACCATGGACCAGAAACTCGTCGCAGTACTGGGACAACTCTTTCAAGTTCTCCTTTCGGGACAAAAAGTCTCAAACAAATGACAGGACCTCCAAATCCTACACAACCCATGTAGGCAACATATGAGGAGCGGACGAAACCCTTTACTTGGCCTTAGTACTTTTTTTAACGTCATCGTTTTTGGGGGAGACCTCATCGTTTTACAGTGTTTTCGAACTTTGGCAGATCCGGCTCCAAAATCGCAACTTTCTAGCACAAGTCTAGTACGCGAAGTACACTTCCGCAGCTCCAGCTCGAAATTCGCAACTTTGTAGTACAAGTCTAGTACGCGAAGTACACTTCCGCAGCTCCAGCCCGAAAATTGCGAAATACAATTCCGCAGCTCCAGCTCGAAAAGCGAAACTTGGCAGGCAGTACAAGTCTAATACGCGAAGTACACTTCCGCATCTCCAGCTCGAAAATCGCAACTGTGCAGTACAAGTCTAGTACGCGAAGTACACTTCCGCATCTCCAGCTCAAAAATCACAACTTTGTCGTGCAAGTCTAGTACGCGAAGTACACTTCCGCAGCTCCAGCTCGAAAATCGCAACTTCGTAGTACAAGTCTAGTACGCGAAGTACACTTCCGCAGCTCCAGCTCGAAAATCGCAACTTTGTAGTACAAGTCTAGTACGCGAAGTACACTTCCGCAGCTCCAGCTCGAAAATCGCAACTTTGTAGTACAAGTCTAGTACGCGAAGTACACTTCCGCAGCTCCAGCTCGAAAATCGCAACTTTGTAGTACAAGTCTAGTACGCGAAGTACACTTCCGCATCTCCAGCTCGAAAATCGCAACTTTGTAGTACAAGTCTAGTACGCGAAGTACACTTCCGCATCTTCAGCTCGAAAATCGCAACTTTGTAGTACAAGTCTAGTACGCGAAGTACACTTCCGCAGCTCCAGCTCGAAAATCGCAACTTTGTAGTACAAGTCTAGTACGCGAAGTACACTTCCGCATCTCCAGCTCGAAATCGCAATTACAGTACGCACAGTAGTAGCAAAGTACACTTACAGCATCTCCAGCTCGAAATCGCAACTTTGTAGTACAAGTCTAGTACGCGAAGTACACTTCCGCATCTCCAGCTCGAAAATCGCAACTTTGTAGTACAAGTCTAGTACGCGAAGTACACTTCCGCAGCTCCAGCTCGAAAATCGCAACTTTGTAGTACAAGTCTAGTACGCGAAGTACACTTCCGCAGCTCCAGCTCGAAAATCGCAACTTTGTAGTACAAGTCTAGTACGCGAAGTACACTTCCGCCTCCAGCTCGAAAATCGCAACTTTGTAGTACAAGTCTAGTACGCGAAGTACACTTCCGCATCTCCAGCTCGAAAATCGCAACTTTGTAGTACAAGTCTAGTACGCGAAGTACACTTCCGCATCTCCAGCTCGATCATCGCAACTTTGTAGTACAAGTCTAGTACACGAAGTACACTTCCGCATCTTCAGCTCGAAAATCGTAACTTTGTAGTACAAGTCTAGTACGCGAAGTACACTTCCGCAGCTCCAGCTCGAAAATCGCAACTTTGTAGTACAAGTCTAGTACGCGAAGTACACTTCCGCAGCTCCAGCTCGAAAATCGCAACTTTGTAGTACAAGTCTAGTACGCGAAGTACACTTCCGCAGCTCCAGCTCGAAAATCGCAACTTTGTAGTACAAGTCTAGTACGCGAAGTACACTTCCGCATCTCCAGCTCGAAAATCGCAACTTTGTAGTACAAGTCTAGTACGCGAAGTACACTTCCGCATCTCCAGCTCGAAAATCGCAACTTTGTAGTACAAGTCTAGTACGCGAAGTACACTTCCGCAATTCCAGCTCGAAAATCGAAACTTTGTAGTACAAGTCTAGTACGCGAAGTACACTTCCGCAGCTCCAGCTCGAAAATCGCAACTTTGTAGTACAAGTCTAGTACGCGAAGTACACTTCCGCAGCTCCAGCTCGAAAATCGCAACTTTGTAGTACAAGTCTAGTACGCGAAGTACACTTCCGCAGCTCCAGCTCGAAAATCGCAACTTTGTAGTACAAGTCTAGTACGCGAAGTACACTTCCGCATCTCCAGCTCGAAAATCGCAACTTTGTAGTACAAGTCTAGTACGCGAAGTACACTTCCGCATCTCCAGCACGAAAATCGCAACTTTGTAGTACAAGTCTAGTACGCGAAGTACACTTCCGCAGCTCCAGCTCGAAAATCGCAACTTTGTACAAGTCTAGTACGCGAAGTACACTTCCGCATCTCCAGCTCGAAATTCGCAACTTTGTAGTACAAGTCTAGTACGCGAAGTACACTTCCGCATCTTCAGATCGAAAATCGTAACTTTGTAATACAAGTCTAGTACGCGAAGTACACTTCCGCAGCTCCAGCTCGAAAATCGCAACTTTGTAGTACAAGTCTAGTACGCGAAGTACACTTCCGCATCTCCAGCTCGAAAATCGCAACTTTGTAGTACAAGTCTAGTACACGAAGTACACTTCCGCATCTTCAGCTCGAAAATCGTAACTTTGTAGTACAAGTCTAGTACGCGAAGTACACTTCCGCAGCTCCAGCTCGAAAGTCGCAACTTTGCAGTACAAGTCTAGTACGCGAAGAACACTTCCGCAGCTCCAGCTCGAAAATCGCAACTTTGTAGTACAAGTCTAGTAAGCGAAGTACACTTCCGCATCTCCAGCTCGAAAATCGCAACTTTGTAGTGCAAGTCTAGTACGCGAAGTACACTTCCGCCTCTGCAGCTCGAAAATCGCAACTTTGTAGTACAAGTCTAGTACGCGAAGTACACTTCCGCAGCTCCAGCTCGAAATTCGCAACTTTGTAGTACAAGTCTAGTACGCGAAGAACACTTCCGCAGCTCCAGCTCGAAAATCGCAGCTTTGTAGTACAAGCCTAGGCTGTACGCGAAGTACACTTCCGCATCTCCAGCTCGAAAATCGCAACTTCTCAGTACAAGTGTCGTATTTACAGAGCCGTGTGTTCGTTAAGGGTCATCGTTTTTGGGGGAGACCTCATCGTTTTCCATGGTTTTGGGATGTGTTACTCAAAAGCGTGCCCCGTCTTGATAAAGTGGTCTACGCGTGTTTTGTCCGTGGCTCATATATACACTGCAGGTAAACATGGGGACATCCATACATGGAGTGCTTGGGAAGGGGTGGTTCCACGAAAAGGGGCTCATCCAAGAAACTCGACCCCAGTGACGGATATAAACAAAGGCACTCAACATGTTACCTTCCACGGGCCAAAAATAGCTTGCGCAAACTGAATGGAATCACGGTATTATAAGATGGCCTTGTGGTCACTTTCAACTGGCAACAACCACTTGCGCCCCCACACAGGGCGCTCCAACCTTCAAGAAGGAACGCCAAAGGGCCCAATACCAGTTTTCTACCCCTCTGGTTTGGTCATTACTTCAAGGCTGGGAGCAACCAATTCGTCACAGTCAGAGAACTCGTAATTTCGCTGTGCGCGCGGGTGAGGCTGCACGCCGTGTCTGTGTGTGTGTGTGTGTGTGTGACAAAGTCGCTCTAACTGCTCCTCTGACACCTCCAAGTCGGTCCACTTCTGCCACTTGTTGGTGACCACCTGGCAACCGATTTCGCAGGCTGGGCTTTGCACATCAACGTGGTACAAATGCTCGAACAAATGGCCAAACATCGAGAAAGAAGGGCCTTTGAAGTCAAGCTACCCACAAACATGAAATCCAGGGTTTTCTTCTGTGACACCCTGCGATTCCATCGATGTCTAGATTAAAACTGAGACTATGTCTGATAACTCTCTGGGGTGGATAGTCCCAGGATGACATGGAAAATCCCGCAGACAAAAGCCATGCTCAGCTTTGGGATCTGAGATGCTAAGCGCGCCAGCATCTTTGAGGGACCATGGTCTCCCGATGGTCTCCCGGCAGCTTTGAGTTTTTCTATGCACACGCTCGCGACTGGTGGAATGCAGGCGCCGTGCATTTGGGTGTGTCTTAGAACATGGGATCAACATGGGTGCCTTCGGGTTTCTCAACGCAACCCCGAAATAATACAGTTCAACAAGGCACACCTCGTTGGCATCTGAATCTTTCTGAATCTAAGTGATTGTCAGCTGATGGTCAGCTGCCGATCTGGATGACCGAAGTTGTGCTTCTCCTTCCGGGCCATGTGGCATTTGCGAAAGCTGATTCGCGCGAGGAGTGATTCTTGCCAAGTCAAGACTTCTTGCATTTGGGCATCAAATGGGTGACAAGCAGCCAGCAGCCTACTAGGTTGGTCTTAGGTGCTTCTCAAAGGCAACCCCGGAAGGTTGGTTTCCTTTCGGTGTCCCTACAAAACCATTCCCAACACGTGTTTCCTACATGTGGTGTGTCTTAAAAGGGGTGTTTCCTTAAGCTCTCTAGGCTTCCGTCGACAAGCCAACAAAAGTGCTCCGAGTCCTCCTCGTAGAGGCTCCTCAAGGCGTCCATGTACTGCTGGTGCGCTTGCTGAACCTGAAGCCCCCAGCTCCCAGCCTCCCAATTGGAAGCATGTCCGGATCCCTGCGATTTTTTTTTTTTTTAAAAAAACAAAAAACAAAACAAATGGGAATACCCTCAGCAAGTGCAAAAGGGAATGGATAGAAGATAGAATGCTTCTTTCTCCCAGGTTGAAAGTAGCTCTTTGCAGGGATGTGATTGTTGTAGAAATGCAGTATGTGAATGCCTGCAGACAATATCACCGCCAGGAATCGAGAGCAGACTGCGTAACATGCCCTGGCCGCATCGTCCGTTTCTCACTCATCTGAGTACCTGACCTTCGTGCGGAACAAACCCCTTTGTGACACCGATTCGTGAGATTCCTATCCTATATAGCTATACCTGGTGTCTGCAAACGGGAGGTTTCGAGACCAAATGGGAGCCCCAAACCCCAAACCCCCAACCCCCCGAATCGAACCCGCCCAAGCCACGCCCAACGCCAAGGAGGCCTCCTGGTCCGTAGGTTTCCCGGGCTGCTGGCAGCTGAACTGCAGAGGCCTTCCCAGCACCAGATGCACGGGGCGCCGCAGAGGCAGGAACCCCAAGGCGCCCAGATACACCGGGATGCATACGCCCAGCGTCCTCGGAGAAGTCTTCTGGGAGCTCTGGGGACGGAAAGGGGCTGGAGGGGGTTGCACACACCCAAGGTCCTCAGACTCTGGGAACTGGGCTCCCAAAGGTCATTTGTCCTTTGGGAGGGGGGGGGGGTTGCGGCCGTTAAGCCACAATGTATATAGACGTTTAGAGGGCAACTTTGATGATGCACACACCTAAAGTCTTCAGGACTGGTAACCTGGTAGGGCTGGTTCTGAACCCTCTGCCAATCCCTCAAGAACCATGACCATGGGAGTTTTGACCAGGGATAGCAACCGTTGTTACAGCGGGGTGGGCTGTACCACCAACCACTAGACACAGTAGAACCCCTGGTCAAGGGAAACCAAAAGGAGGTTGTCGAAGCAATAGTGGTTTACACACCCTTCTTGAGAGATACATGCAGCTTTACGGGAGGAAGCCTGAGGCAACTGGGTTGGGTGTTTCTTCCGATAAGGGAATAAGGGAATGGTACCCAACTCGTGAAAGGGCGGCCAATTTGCCTGTCCAGGCCCCTTTCAAAGCACCCTTATTCAATGTGTGAGCTGCAGCAGCTGTCAACCGGAAGCAACTTCAGAAGTCTTGCCCGGATGGGTGATTGGTCCAGAGGCGTGAAACCACGGCCTTTAAGGTTTTGGTCTTGGCGCGAAAAGGCCCCTTGCCTGGGAACATGTAGCTGGTCGGGTCAACTGCCGCTGGAACCGCAGGAAATCCGCTCTCTGGTGGATTTAAGACGTTGGAATGTCTCTGAATGAGGCGGTCAAGCATCTGTGAAGCAATAATCCCTTCCTGTTTGTTTGATGAAATCAATTCTGGGCTCGTGTAATGCAAGCGGTGCTGCGTATGTGGATGTCTGTCGCTTACCAGGGTTCAACGTCTGCAACTCACGTTTTCAAAAAGTAGTATGCGTATTTCAAGTTGCATGTTAAACATGCCTTACCAAGGGATCAAATGTCAAACTTTGTTGAACACGGAAAATCCAAAGGCAGTCTCACTCAAAGCATCTGTGACGCTCAGAGTCAAGGAAGGAACAAGGCGCTTAGTCAATATATGGAGCCAGTAGATGGCACAATTCGCCGGATAATTGAAGATATGTGCCAACTGAGCATGGGCCATTTTTAAATCACACCGTGCCATCTACCTAAAAATATACGTCGTAAATGTGCCATCTATTTGCCGGGTAGTGTAATCGTGTTCTTGCATCATGAGTTGTTCAGCAAAGCGCAACTGCAAAGTTCGACGACTCCACCTCCACACTGTTGCGGGACAGGCGCGACTCCCAAGTCTTCCGTCTGGCTCCAAGGTTCCCGGGTGAATCTCGAAACATTTGGGCTGGTCTCCAAGCCACGCCCCCCAAAAGGGTAAGGCAAATCCAGAAAAAAGGTACCAACTCAGGACTCCGGTTTCCTGTGGGCTTCCCCAAAAGAACCAGAAGGGCACCAACTCCGCTCAGAGCAACATCCACTTCTAAGCCAAAAGGGCGGCCACCTGCCCCCGGGGGGAAAAAAACAAAAAACGGGGGGGTGTCCCGTCCCCACCCCCCCCCATTTTGACCACCTGGGAAGCTCAGCCGTTGACGCCCAGGCGCTTTCGCAGCCACTCCCGAGGCTTGAAGAGCACCTGGCACTGCCAAAGCCCAGGCGCCCTAGGGGGTCAAGGGGGTAGTAGCCACCATATAGCTATGGCTCAAAAAACCGGTGCCAAAATGGAACCTGGTAAATGGAACATGGACCAAAACCTGCGTAACCCCCCCTGTTTAATTTTGAGCCACACCCAATGGGTCAAAATCCAAATCGTACCCCCCAGTGAACATCCCGGGTATCCCACTAAAGTAGGTTCTAAAACGGGTGGTGATTTCACCTACCACAAAATGGGACCATTGGTTTTGACCCACAGCCATATATCGCAACTATACCACTCTGCTACTTCATAAAGTGAGCGTCTCCCAACAGAGCCGTGCTGCCCTTGTGACGCACTTGGCATGGCCTTTCGTTTGCGGAATTGCCTGCGATAGGGGACAATCGAAAACCGACGCCAACCAGTAATACCATGGATGGACACATGGACACAATCCTGCACCATTTGGTGGGTGGGCTGTCCCAGTTTGTTGGTTCCCAACTGCACAGCATTGCCCTTTGCAGGCCAGGTTAACAGCTCCTGACTGATCCCTTGGAGGGCTGATTGGGGAGCTGGCCTTGTGTGGTGAACATCTGGCACCTTCCTTGCAACTATGTTTGAATCTGCCCTTGTCGCGTTCGGTCCAAAGTGCTCTAAAATCAAAGGACAACGGCAGTTTGTGCTCCAAACAAAGGACAGCCGCATTTTGGTTTGCGCCCCCAGGTTTTGAAGCGCTTGGCTTGTGAGGCTTCCGTTCGGTCGCGGGCCTTGGTGTAGGTGGCGTACAAATCCACGGAGCCGAAGGCGTAGCAGGGCACCACGGCGCTTTGCTGCTCCAGCGCCAGCTTTATGAAGCCCACGCGCTTGGAGAGGAAGACCTCAGCAAGTGATTGGTGGTGGTTGGCAGGGGTTGTGGGGGCTTGGGGTGGTTGGTGGGGCTTGGGGCGGTGTTCGGCAAGTGGGATGGTGGGTGCGCCACTACTGAAGGTTTGTATGAAACAAACAATTTATGCTGTGAACCAATCCCATTGAAAAACGTCGGCTCGTTGGATTTATGTCCACAATTCTCAAAACTAGGCCCGAAAATGCGTCATTTCCAGGGTTGGGCCAACCTCTTTTGTGATCCATGACATGTTCAAAGTTTAAGCGACCTCATGTTAGTTCCTCTGTAAACGGGGCCCCCCTGGGTTGGTTAGGAATTTTGATCGCAGGCCTCCTCCTTGCCTTGCTCGGTGCGGATCTGCTCCTGCTCGCCTCCGGGACGCAGGTGTCGCCATGCCCAAACTGTAAACGGATTGTCCGGTTTCTCCGTTGCAGTGGTTGGGGCAGTGGAAACTCTCTGATTAAGTTCCAGCGTCAGGTTTCCTGCCATCTGCGAATTCACTTCGCCCGGCAACGTGCCTTTAGGGGGAAACTAACAACTAGCCCTCTACCCGGGGGTTCGTCTCCAATTCAGGGAGCCTCCAATGTGGGTGCCGTTCTGTTTGTTCCATTCACAAACCCCGATAAAGATCAAACAAAACTGCTGAGTTCAGGGGTCTTGCGTCGTCGATTGCTCTATGCGGTGACCCCACCTTAGGTTTGCTTGGCATGCCCAAAATGTTTCCGAGGTGCCTTTTTGATCACAATCAATAGATGAGCTTGCCTTTTCTGGGCGGGCAGGGGGACCCCAAAAGTGTAATTTACACGTCCGAACCTGCCTCACATTTTCGGTCATGAAGGAGGGAATCCATTTTGGGTGTTCCGTAAAGCCAAATTGACCCCCTACCCTCAGCACAGCCCATGGGCCCCCCAGGAGCAGTGAAGGGCGGAGGTGAGGGTCCAGTTGCACTCTTGTCTTCCCCAAAGCTCAAACAGTACAAAACAAACAAATGGAACAATGGGCCAAAATGCTCCCTCGCCAAATGTCCGACCCTTTGCTTTACCACTAAAACAGACTTCCGACAAAATATTACAGTCCAGAACCGGCCCATTGGTTGTGGGAACTCTGGCCCCTTTGAGGGCTTTGGTCGCTACTCAAATGAAATCTCGGGCGAAATCAACCTTCCCAAATCCGTTTCTCAGATTGTTTCTTTCTGATGTTAGCTTTGCTGGGCCAGGGAACCAAGGGAATAGCCGCCAGTTTGGAGGGTTCATTCTTTCAAGACACACTCACGCGTAAATCCACTCGTGGTTGTTTGATGTCCCCAAGTCTTGGTTGCTGTTGACCCCCCTGCAAAAAGTTTTACTGTTTGGGGGCTTAGTGGACAACCCCTTGATTCCCCAAAAAGTTAAAGTCTGAAGATCCAACCCAATAGCAGTCAAGAAGTAAAAAGGGTGTTCTGATCGTTTCTGAGGTGCGCATCGCCCAACACCCTTGACTTTTCACCCTACTAACATGGGTGCTAAAGTTGTAAAGCTTGATTTGACCACAGTCCAAATCAAAAACCCCGGTAGTTCCAAAACTTTTTTTCCGGGCCGGGGGGCGGGTGGGTGGGTGGTTATCAAACCCGGTAGTTCCAAAGAATATATCTTTTTTTCCGGGCGGGGTGTGGCTTTGGGGCGCTGCTGAGATCACGCATGGGTCAAAATCCAAATCGTACCCCCGGTGAACATCCCGGTTCTCCCACTCAAATAGGCTCTAAAATGGGTGGTGAATTCACCGAAAACCCCCAAAAGGGTACCATTGGTTTAACGGCCAGCCAGGTGGACATCCGGACATCCGAGCCTCCGGGGATCACCATCACGGAGTGGCCCTTCCGCAAGGCCCGGCTGGCCACGGACTTCCGGGCGTCGATGCAGCGGGTCCAAAGCGCCAGCTCGCGGACCATGGGGATGCAGAACAGCACCTCAAGCTGTTCCATTTGTTGTTTTTAATCATTGTTGTTTTTACTTTTGTTACTATGTCTTTATTATTACTGCTTTGTGTCTTTCTTTTATGTTTATTATATCTATCTTGGTCCATCCGAAGTTGACATAGGCACCCTTGGGGTCTTGAGGTCCTTGGGGTGCTCGGGCTCCTTCAAGGGCCCTACATTCTTTGAGTTCAGTTAAGCCTCACTTTTTGGTTGCGTGATGAGTTGTTTTTTGGTAATGAAGGAGAAATATAGGGGGGAGCCCTGGGCTGGGCCGGTTGTGACATTCTCACAATTACCGCTAAATGAAAAAGTTGTTTAAACGGAAACAACCCCAAATGTAGTTTTGGGAACCCCTCAAACTGCCTTGCCACTTTAATTGCCCCAGTCAGTCTGAGGGGGTTTTCACGAGCCCCAGAATGGGATATACTACCACTATATCCACAGAAGCAACTCCCTACCTCGTGCTGCGTTCTCCAACCGCACCGTTGAATTTGTTTCCAACGCTACATATGTTTGCGGTCACGTCCACTGGGATGCAGAACCCTCCTTAGACGGCGAGAAATCTGGTCGGCCGGTCCAAAAACACGATCGGCAGAAAAGTTGGCCCACACCCACTAGACCTCTGGGGAGTGACACCTGCTGCTTCGGGTGTGGCCTGGAGCCGTTTTGGGACGGAGCCATGGCTTTGATGTACCGGGCATTCCTAGATTGCAAACTTGATGTGACATGTCATAGATCAAGGTATGCTGCTTGACCGGTATTTCTGAAGTATCACATACCAAACACCAAACCGGTTCACAACACATTTGGTGGCTACCATTCTGTGGTACAAGGCGCAGGCCTCTTGACCGTGCAATGGTACATACCATTCACTCTTCTCTAGAAGTCTACCATCCCTCTCTTCTCGCTTAGGGACGCTCTTTCGAGGCCCAACCCCCACGAAACGACAGGTTAAATGGGCAAAAGACAGGCTCGGGGTTGGAAAAAAGGACAGCTCGCTCTGTCATGCTTTCTTGGGCCCCAGCAGATGCGGACAGAGTGAGTACTTCCCGGTTCGGCAGCGCTTCCTTGGCCGGACACATAGGAATAGTTTGGCTGCATGGGACCCAAGGAAAACCAAACGCAAAAAAAGAGAGGAAGGCCAGCTTTTCGCAGGTCCCTAAATTCTGACCATGAACTCCGTGTCCAAAAACTCTGATACTTCTGGCACCGCTTCGTAGAGCATGCCGTCGAGCAAGATCCGGTAGTCGCTGGCCACCCCATGAGGATGCACCGCTAACACTGCCGGGCGGTCGTGAGGCAAAGATGACAGCTCCGAGTGCACGTGGATGCGCAGCCGGAGATAGCGACGGAAGGCCTGGGAAAAAGATCATTGAAGCCGCAAACTACTTTCAACTACGGAATTGGGGTCCAGGTAAAGTGGCAATTCACTCCGTGTCTGTTGTGCAATGTGCGCTTAAGGAGTACTTTCAGGGTGCAGGTAAAATGGAAACAAAACCATTATTGTCCAGCAGTTTGCGCGTTTTGAGGATCTAAGGCTAGGATCTCGGTCCAAGTAACAATGGCAATAAGTCCATGGCTGTTAAGCAATATGCAATGAGTGTTAGGGTCCAGGTACACATAAGAAATCATTCCTGCTTGTGATTCAGCAACATGCACTTTTTTACTGCAAGGGTAATTTCAGGGACTGGGTACATCTGTCTTTTCTCCAAAGTTGTCAACAATACACGCATATAGATATGACTTTATCAGCGCAGTTTCAGGGTCCAGGTAAACATGGAAATTGAATTCGTGCTTGTTGAGCAATATGCATTGTTGAAGGATATGTTCAGGGGGCAACTCATTCTATGCTTGGTGAACAATATGTATTTGCAATGGTAGTTTCAGGGCACATGCAAAAAGATAAGACTCGGTCCTGTTTGTAGAGCAGTATGCATTTGTTGCTGTAAAGATAATTTGAGGCTGCAGGTAAAACTGGGAATGCAATTTGTGTGTGCTGAGCATATACGTTGTAAAAGGGTAGTTTCAGAGTCCAGGAAACAAAGGGAATCCAGTCCATGTTCGTCAAGCAATATGAATACTTTAAGAGTAGTTTCAACGTCCTGGCAAACACATAAACAATAACTCCATGTTTGTCCAGCGCTATGCATGGTTGCTGCTGCAAGGGTAGTTTCAGCGTCCAGGTAAATATTGAAAATCGTTGCATGCGTGTGGAGCACTATGCATATGTTGAGGGTTCAGGGGGAAGTAAGATGGGTGAATCGGTCCATGAATGTTGAGG